TTGCCTCATTAAAGACATTTGTAGATGTTCCCAGATCTGGCTGTACATTCTTTGGCTGTTGAGGAACTTGCAGATTTCATAGAAACAGGGAAAACAGGCATAAATAGTGAAGGGGGCATAAAAAGGCATCTCAAACCCATCAGAATCTTCCTCCAAAGACAACAAAATTACACTTTTCCTTAGACTGTTTCATCTTTATGAGAAAGGTCCAAGTCTTTGGGGAATCTCTTAGCAACTAGGTTTAGGATCCATCATCTATCATCGGGGCTTGACATTTGTTTACTTAGTAAAGTCTCTATCTACTCAGGGAATGCCCTACACTCTAGGTTATTACAATAACTTTTAAATCTCTCTCACCCAAATCTTCTTGAAATTATCCACCTCACTTTTCATACTGTCCTTCTGAGGTTGAAATTTTGGTCAACTCTGAGTAGAGGGGAAGCCTCATCTTATTCCTAAGAATTGCTTCACTATGTCACCTAGTGACCTAATGGACACCTCTAGACCTGGCTTGTTCACCCTCTTCCTGGTCATGTCGGTCCCAACTCCTAACCTTCACAGAGGATGGTTTCATACTTAGAATGGCTTATTCAAATCCACCAGATCTGTCTGTCATCATGTCTCAGCTCTAGGGGTCTCCCTGGTGCCCTCTCTGCTGCCTTACCAGTTACATGGTGAGCTTCCTTTCAGCTCTTCTCTCCTTTTTATATTAAAATTGTTAATTGACACATAAATTTTATGTATTTATGGAGTAACATGTAATGCTTTGATAAATGTATACATTGTATAATTTAATTATGAGTCAGAATGTTTATTTCCTCAAATATTTATCATTTCTTGTTGTAAAATTCAGAATTCTTTCTTCTAGCTTTTTTGAAAAAACACAGTACATTAGAACTTCTTTCTTCTACTTAATAGTAACTGAGTACCTGTTGTCTTCCCTTTAGATGACCTAACTCTCAATTATAATACTTTATAATCCACTATCTCATTTTTTATTTCTTTCAATGGTGTTGAATGAATGTTTCCCATCTCTGTACCCTGCCTAGAAGTTGATCCTTGAGGCCAGAAACCCTGCCTCATTCTTTCTGATTTTCCTCCCAACCTCAACTCTAGAATAACGCTGGGCTCATTCACAGATTTTTAATGAGTATTTTGTGATTCAATTAGATTAATATTTTATTTAAATCTTCAGTTCTTTCCTTCTTTTTTCATTTCCTTCCTTCCTTTTCCTTCCATATAATTACTAAAAATCTTTGAGTATCACGTGAAGCTGTATTTCTTTAAATTTTCATTTGAGAATTTTATCCATACTTATAATGTGTTTGATGAACTCCAGTCCTCATTCCCTCACCTCCAACTCCTCCCATATCCTCCTTCAACATTCCCTTTCAAGTTTATGTGCTTTTTTAAAAAACCCATTGAATCCAGTTAGTGTCGTATGCATGTGCATGGGTGTAGGATCAACCAATGGCCAGCCTCTCAGCGCCTGCATTCTTGAAGAAAATGGACTCTCCCTTCCCCAGCAGCAATCAATTCCCATTTAGAGTGGAGTACTTCATAGTTTCTTATTCTCTGTATGTTGACTTGTGGGTTTCTTCATTAATCACCATCTACTACTGCATAAACCTTCTCTGAGGAGGACTGAGAGAAGCACTAATCTATTGGTATAAAGGTAAGAATGTAGGGGAAGTTTATTTCTATGTCCATTTAGCAGAATAATAGTACTAGGTTCCCCCCTAGAGCCTATGACCACAGGCTTTTGGTCCAATTAAAGGTACTAATCACGTGAAGTTATTATTTAATGTAGTCTAAAATTAAATTGTTTTGGAAATTCAAAAGACAAATAAAGGAAAACAGAAGGAAAAAAAGAACACAAAGAGTGAAAATATTGCCACCGTAGTATTTCTTCTAGAGGGA